CATTTACTAACCTAGACAAACCTGAAAATCGAGAAAGGGTCTCGAGTTCATATTCGGTTCTATTGTCGCCACTGTTGAAATACCTTTACTACACTGAAGATGTAATGAGAACTCATTTCCACTTGCATTCATCCATACTTGTCAAAGTGGGCATCTGATAACATAGCATTCGGCGATCCCCTAGGCCCGTTATTTCCTTTACTGAACTTTCAGGCAAAATTCATGTTAAGCATGTAAACGCAAAGGTTGTACAGAAATGTTCATCTTCAGAAATTTTCAAAACATTTTGACCTAGCTAAACAGTGAAGCTCTAGAGGAACGTGGAGTTTGTAAAGGATTAAATCGTCAAATAATAATGATTCCTGTCATGAACATATCATTCACTCTGCTGGTGGAGTAGTGCAGCTTCCTCCATCTGAAGTCATCGAGCGCAACATTCGAGGTGGTTCTTTCGGCAATAAATCCAGAGCAGATAGAATACAATTCACAGTGAATAGTCGACTTCTTATTAAAGCAATTAGACCGCTTCTAGAGCGTAAATTTTCTCTTGATCTTTGGAATCAGGTTTCCAAACATCACCCTCTCGTGTTTCGTATGACCTTCAGAGAACAGTTGTACAGAAGAGTATATATTATTTGTTGGTTTTCGATCGACGTATTTTGTAGCAGCAAAAAGTACTTTGAAATGAAATTTTTGAGTAGAGCAGGAACAATAGCGGCGGAAGGTACATGGAACTGAAAACATGTGGTTGACTATATGGTCATCCCTACAAAGTTAATAATAACGTTGTTGTTAGTTTTGTCTGCTAGGTCGAAAAGGAAAGGTATAAATGCACACGAACCTGAATATGATACTTTTGTCGTCGTTGCATCATTGTCGTCTGATGTGATGAGGCGAAATTTTGCAGATAATGATGATCGGGTAGAATGCAATAATTTGATATGGTAGAGTTTTCAGGTGTTTGGTAGTAGTTCGAATCAAATACCTTTTCTACAAAACATTTTTGTAGACAATATTCTTGATTTTAGCTTTCGATGAAGGAACTTCCACTGAGACAGCATCCCGAGCTCTCGATAGCGCAACATATAGTTGCCCATGAGAGAATACATCTTCGGGTAGATATATTCCAACTTTT